TTGGCTGTGTCCACGGGAGGAGGTGAGTTCAGAGTCTGCCTATGCCGCCATCTTGACTCCCTCCCAGCCAAGCACATTTCTTAAACTCTCTATGCCAGCTTCCCCTTCGGTAAAATGCAGAAAAGAATAGTAGCCGTCTTGCAGGGTTAAGGAGGATTGAAGAAGATAATCCAGGTAACGAACTCAGCACAGTGCCGGGCATCTAGTGAGTGCGCAATGAACGTCGGCTACTGTTAAAACTTCGGCAAATGGTTTTATTTTGCTTTATAGAACATTTGAGAGAAACTGAGCTCCTCTATCTTTTTACAGATTGTTTAAAATATACTTCAATTAACTTCATTGTAAGAATTGGTACTTTAACGCGTGAGGATCTTTCCCAGCAGTTTTAAAGCCCTTTCTCTGATGATCACCTGTATTTATGAATAATTATAAACACAACTTCCTATAGGCTCTTCTCCCTACTTATGCCCATAACAGAGATAACATCAGAGAAAATATAAGAAAGTGTTTCTCCTTGTCTTGATACTTAGCTGGATACCAGCCCAGTGTTTGTAGATGGCTTTTATTTAATAGAAAACTCAGGCAAACTAAAGTTAATATAAAGAGCATCCCACACCTTATTCTCATCAGTTTTTATCCCCTTTCAGCTTCTGAAGAGCAATATCCCAATAACTCAAAATAATAAAGGCGAGGATATCACAAGTACCATAGATATAAGTGAATCTCTCTGAGGAAAAAAAAATGGTGTCAGTGATATTCACCAAACCCTCAAAGATTATGGAGGGCTTAAAGTTATGGCTCTAGGAATTCCGATTAGGACAACTTTTGATGAATGTCTCCTGTCTGAAGTATTAGAACTAGAAGTTGTGTCATTAGAAACTTCCTAGAAACACGGGTCCTGCATGTTACATATTCTGCACAGTACTCTCAACAAAATGGAGACAATAACACTTTATTAACTTATAATAATTGTAATTTATGGGGCAATAACAGAAATGCTGAGTATTAAATATGCTTTTTATAATTCACAAAGATGTGGCCCTTAAGACGGAGGTCATCCAAGTGACACACAAGGTGAGAAAATTGTCAGAGTTGCTGCAGAGTTAGAAATCATCACAGATAACATCAAAATGAACATTTTGCATTTGGTTTCAGATAATGCCCCCAAAACAGTTAGATTATCAACTGAATAACTGACGTGTCTTTGCAGATCCTTCAATAATATCAGTCTGTGAACTTCTGTCAGTTTTCCCTCCTTTAAGTGGAGACCATAATACCTGCCTTGGCTGACTTGAGAATTGTTACGAGGAAAATAAGATTTCATACGAAAAATCAAAACGGCAGAATAAATGAGAAGTAGCATTATTACTATTACTTCTCTTTTTTTACCGTTATTATTAGTAAAATAATAGCTATGATTAAATAAATTGATATCAAATCTTTCTGTTAACTTGCATTATGAGGAGGTAAAAAAAAAAAAAAAAGCAACCTTTTTATAACTATGTGACAGTGTGACTATGGCAATGATTTAGCCTGATTAGGTAAGACTCTCACTGCTCACATCAACAGTGGAAATTAGTATAATTTGGTACTCGGATTCTGATTCTGATTCCGGGGCATCTAAACAGGGGTGCTAAAACAGAACAACAGGAGTACTAACCAAGAGGAAGCGATGTGCCCAAGAGCAAGCCCTGCCAGGAATAAAATGTTCAGGTCCCAAGAATTTCTCTCCCAACAGAAGCCCAGCTGGGCTCAGATCACTTACCGGAAAACCTGCAACCGTCTTCATGAGCACCTCCCTACACATCCCAGGGTGTGAAGGTGTCAGCTTGGGCTCAGGGAACAGAAAATCCCGTGTGTTTTCTTCATAGTAGGCCAACTCTGCCCATACTTGAAAGAATGGAGAAAAGGCATAAGTACATTTATGTTCTGAAAATGATGTATCGACATCCCTGAGTTGAACAAAACCAAAGCTTAGATGGGTGACGGCAGAGATGGCACTCAGATAAAAATAGACATTTTGACCACAGCACCTGTAATTCAAGAGATGGATGACTTCTACTACTTTTTATCTCATGGATAATTTTTAAAAGCCCTCCCAAGTCATAACAGAGAAGAAAGACTATTTAAAGAATTGCTCCACAAAACAAACAGGAAAATTTCTTTCCTTCCATCCATCCATCCATCCATCCATCCATCCATCCATCCATTCTTTCCTTCAACAACTGTCTTCTAAGGACATACTGTGGGCCAGGTCCTAGGGATGGAACAGGAACAAGGCAGACAAGGCCCCGTTCGTGCAAAGGTTACAGTGTAGACTAGGGTTCAATGTGGAGTGATACAGGGATGTGTCAGTGTTCCAAAGGCCCAGAGAACAGCCAGAGCTGTGGTTCTCAGCAGTGCTGGTACTAACCCCAGAGACATTTCGGAAATTTGTGGGGATATTTCATGGGCAGGAGCCAAAGGTGCTAGAGGGTCCTGCAATGCTCATGACACTCCTACACGACTTTCTAATGTCCTACCCGATATTCTTTCAGGTGAGAAACCCTTTTATAATGGTCTGAGCCTGGGACCTAACTGTTACATATAAACACAAAGCACTTTTCACATGATTTTAAAATACACTGAATTTTCAGGAATGCCGGTACCAATTAAGTTAAGGAACAACTGTGCTTTGTTTAGATCTTTACCAAGACCCTTCTGGCATTTTGAAAATCATGTCACATCTAAATACTTCATGTTGTTCAACATTTACATATTGATATATATATTTATTTTAAATCACTTTACTTTTATTTCTCCATTATATTACAGCTGGAATATTATATTGATTTTTGCAATGATTTGTGTAAGTTGGTTATATTAACTATGAATATTATTTCAGTATGGTAAGAGAGATGCTACAAAATACTCATTCCCGAAAGAAGATCTTGAGTCTAATAGGATTGAGAATCACTGAGCTGAAGGATGGAGAAGCTGCCATCTGAGCCCTCCTTGTCTACACAGCAGGTCTTACACAAGTAGCTTGCATTGAGAGTGGCCTCTGTGCAGAGCACCAAGACAAAAGTCACTGTAGTCAATGAGGCAGCTTCACTGTTTGGTGACTGTCATTTTGTTTGTGACAAGAATTCTGATGAGGGCATTTTTGGTACCTCAACTATAGAAAATAATTGATTTTACATCAAATAATGGATTTTACATCAAAAGATGAATTAATTTCTTCCAACTTATTTCATTTAATATGAATGTTTTGGTTCTAATAAGGAAAAGATGAAAGCACAAAAGAAAGTATTCCATATTTTTCATCATGACATCATTTCTTTCCACTCTTCCCCTCTCAGACTCTCCAGCCACAAAGGACTGATGATGGTCCTTCCCTCCTCTGCTATGTACTTCCTCAGCTTATGACCATTCCTTCCAAAATGTCCTTTCTTCCTTCTCATCCTGTTGAGATTGTATTCATCATAACAGGTCCAAAACAGAACTCTTGATTTTTTCCCCACAAATCAGCTTTCCCCTAGCCTTCTCATCAGAGGAACCAGCACCAGTTGCTCAAGTCAAAAATCTAGGATTTATCCTTGATTCCACTCCTTCTTTTACTCCTTACATCAATCCATTAGCAAGTCCTACTGACTCTACTTTCAAAATAAAGCCAAAATCTGTCCCCTTCTCTCCATCTTTATAGCTACCACCCTGGCCCAAGCCCCCACCACCTCTCCTGGACTACTGCCATGGCCTCCTAGCTGGTCTACCCGTTTCCATTCTTCCTGCACTCAAACCTATTCTCCACATATGTGATGTTATAAATACATCAGACTGTGCTTGTCACCTGCTTAAAACTTTCCAATAGGCTTCCCATCACATTAGAATAAAATCTAAGCATTTTCAAGACTCTATAATGAGGCCTCTAATCACCTCTCCTACTTCACTTATTACCTCTCTCCTCCTTGATCATTCCATGTCATCCCTGCTGCCCTTCTTGCTTTTCCCTCAAACACATCAAGTTCGCCTCGACCTTAGAGGTTTGTCCCACTGTTCTCCCTGTGATGTTCATTCCCCAGATCTCTGCATGGCTGGCTCCCTCCTATAGAATGCTGGGCCTTGGTTTAAATGTCATCTCATCAGAAAGGCAGCAACCCAACCTAAAGGAGCCTGCCACTTTTTCATCACCCTGTTTTACTTTCAGTCTAATAATTACCTCTAACTGATATTTTTGTTCATGTATATATGATCTGCTTCCACGAATGCTCTGTGAAAGTAGTGACTCTGTCTGTTCTGTTCTTTATTATATTTCTGGGAGGGCTGTCCCTAGAAAGGTGTGAGCTCAGGGCAGTTCAACTAGTACATGGCCCGGCCAAGCCAATCTCACCTGAAAAGGGGCCATACTGTCTGCATCTTTCTTAGGCCCCTTGAGATGTCATTAAAGGCAGACATTTTAAAATTGAGTTTCAATGATGTTCAGAAAAGAATGATAAAGGGCAGCATTTTACACCCTGCCCCTCAGCCTGTGGAACAATGCCTGGTACATAGGGGTACTTGATAAGTGTTTCTTAGATGAATGAATGTGAACATTAAAACAAGATAACTTACTTAAGTGCCTGCTTACATTAGCCATTCAATAACCATTAGTTACCCTCTTTGAGACTCAGTTGCCACAACTGTAAAAAACGGGAGACAGACTAAATGTCTCTAAAATCTTTTCTCTTACCATTAATTTATTTTCAATAATTTCTTTTCACTCATACATTCAAGAAATATGCATTGAGAACCTACTACATGCCAGGAGTTCTAGACACCGGATGTATACTAGTGAACAAGGTGGATACAATTCCTGCCCTCCTGGAGAGTAGAATCTACAAGTGCTAAACACTTATACACAGAAACGTACCATTTAAATTGATGGTAAAGAGAAGGTGGGGAGGCAGGTGGGAAGGTTAGTGGAATTCTAAGACCAATCTACTTCATTTACTAGTCTCATCCTGGCCTCCCTTTCTATCAATGCTCCTTTTACAATGCTCCCCATGAAGGGCATGACCTCCCCATCTTTACTGGCCCAGAGAGATTTCCTCTATTCAGAGATCTCAGAAGTACAGTTTGAAAATGGGAAGTGATGTGACAATTTCCTTACCCATCACTAGCAACAAAATATAACTTTCTACTGAAGCCTATAGTACAGTGGTTAAGAACTCAGTTTCTAAGTTCAGACAGAGCTGGGTTCAAACCCCTGCTCTAGCATTTACCAGCTATGTGACCTTGAGCAAATTACATAACCTCCTTATGTAAGTTTCCTCTTCAGGAAAATATAAAAGTCATAATAGTACCTGCCCCTTAGGGCTATTGTGAGGACAAAGGACAAACACATATGAAGTGCATACCATAGTGTCTGCCACTGCCTGCCATTATCATGACAGCTCTGTGACACCAGCCCAGCAGTGGTCTCAGCCCCATTCTGGTCTCTATGAATGTCATGTGTTTTCAACCATATGCTCCTACTGGGAACAAACACCTTGATGCATGGTATGATGCTCTACACAGTGGGCGTTTCTTTTTTCCTTTCATGTTTTCGGCTAGTTCTTGTCACTGTATCCAAAATGATACTGCTAAATTACTATTCCTATATTAAGAAGAATCCAGATGAAAATAAGAGATCAGAGAATTGGAGGCAAACTCATCCACTATCTTTGGAATCACAGGAATAAGAGACTGAAATAGGGTTAGAGAAATAGAAGGCTGTGAAGATTCTCAATTCTGTCTCTCTGGTTTAGTCATTTTCTAGAGATTTAAACTGCCACCCAGTGTGAAAATGTCACCACACCAAGGGGATATTACAGCAAGAGCCTAGGTTATAAATAACAAATAAAAATATACACAAACTGAGCAGGTCTCACAGGCCAAGTGAAATGTCTGAAAGAACTCAGTGTTCTTAATAGGCTAATGGTGCAGGCAGGGACATCACCAATGCCATCAATGAAAAACTTCTCCCCAAAAAAGGAAACAAATGAAACTTCAAGAGAAATAATAATTTTAATAATATTGGTTCGAGAAGTATCTAACATTCATAGAGCATATCAGAATTGACAGCTTGCTTCGCAATATGGGGTCTCATTTGATTCCTCTTTATAGATAAGGAGGACACTGAGGCTCTGAGAGTTGAAGACACTTGTCATGATGCCACATGGCAAAGAAGGAATTCAAAACCAGATCACCTGAGGAAGGAGTTCTGTCCTTGCTGATGCCCAGTAAACATCACTCTGAGGTATAAAATCAATGTCTGATTCAGGGAACGGGTGGCCACTAAAAGTAGCATTTTACAGCTGGACTGAATATACATGAGTTATCCCAAAGTAGAGGTTTTTATTTAAAAGGTCAATAAAAAGAAAGCACCAAGCTCACCATCAATCAGGATTATGCTGCCCCCCAGTGTCCAACTGCTTTTTCCCACCTTTGCAAAATGAAAAACCAGTCTTTATTGCTTCTAAGCCAAATCATTGGACCTCTTCGTTCATTACAAGAAAAGCTGTACACAAATGTGAGGTATTTGTATCATTAACTTAATGATCATAATATGTCTTTTAACTATAATAAGTGTGTTTGAAAGTAATGCAAAAAAATATCAAACAATAAAGTAATATCTACAGCAAAATGAAAAGGTAACAATTCAGCCAATGAAGAATTGGTCCCTGAGAACCTAAATGTGCCCCATGTGACCCCACAGTGCAGTACACATGAGACTTTAAGCAAATCATTTTTCCTTAATCATCTGGTATCAAGACCCAGCAGATCATGAGGGCTCACCGTCACCACTCTGTGCCTGGTGCCCCGGGGTGATACCAGGAAGTGGCACAGTGTAGGGCATGTTCTGAGTACACCTTCAATAAACATATGTTGGA